TGTCTCGTAATAAAGCTCACGCGAACACGTTGTTGACAGAAAAATAAAAGCCTGGCTGTGTGTTCGTGACAGCTGTGCCTGTCGGGAGGGAAATATCGCGTATCCTTTCTCGATTATGCGTTTACACGAAAATACGGGCTGGCAAATATTTCACGCGTGCAGGACGAAAATTCCCGAAATTGTTAGACACGTGGCGCTTTTGCCACGTGAAAATATTTTCTGGAAATTCTATCTGTTTCTTCGTCGGTACACACATCCAATAATTGAATTTTCTTTTTATTCATTTAGGGGACAAAAGGGGAGGGGAGGGAAATATTGCGATTAATTATAATTTATTTCGTTACTGAGCTGAAGAATAGGTAGATTGGTTTGATGTAATGATATTGATGAAAGAAATTGTAAAAGTTGTAGATTTTGATGAAATTGTATAATTTTTTTTAATTCTTATGTTATTTGTGTTATTTTTTTTTTTTTTTTATTGTGTTTACTCTTTGATATCATTGTATAATATCATCGTTCATATCTTTCAGAAATTTATTGTCCAGAATTTTTATAATTGTATAGACACATGAATAATTTTATTTTTTTTAATTTTTAATTTTATTTTTGTAGAAGAAAAAATATAACATTAATAATTGTACGGATGTACAAATATATATATTATACGTTATACTGTTGACGTAGAATAAACACAATAATAAAACTACACGTTTATATAAAATATAGAATTCGAAGATAATAAAACACGGAAAACAAATAAAAATAACAAAAAGCATCTGGTGAAAAAAAATTTCTCAATAAATGCCAATAACTTTTACAATTTCTTTCATCAATATCATTACATCAAGCCAATCTACCTATTCTTCAGCTCAGTAACGAAATAAATTATAATTTTATTTTACAATTAAACTTCGCGGATCAAAGTTAATTCACGCTTTCACACATATATCATTAACAATTTGGAATAAAAAAGTTTCAATCAATCAAATACACTTCCAAAAAAAACTTAATATTATTTTTAATTTAAAAATTAAAAATATCATTACGAAACAATAAAACCATCATTTTGAATGGTAATAATAGTTATTGTTAACAAATCGTGAATTGTTGGATCGTAATTAGATTATTAATATTCGTTCGAAATATCAAATTTCACCAATCCTCGAAATGTTCAATCAAAAACAGCATTTGAACATTTCGCAGAATAACTGCGCGTGGCTCGTTCCCATGCAAACCAGCTCGAAATAATGTATAGAGCCATTATCGATGCTTCTCGACCGGCGCGAAGAATAAATATTTTAATGCTCCCGAAGTTAATCACCCGGGATTGGTAGCAATTAAATTCATCGACAGTGAAATCATCGGATCGGCATTGGATAACGAGCAGTCATTGCATCCGGTCTACGTCTTCCGCGATGAAAAATTAATGGATTTAAACTGCGGATTTTTCTACAAATATATTTTTCATGCAACATATGTTTTAATCATAAAATGTCTTTAATATTACATTTTAATCGATCACTAAATTATTACAGAGTAAAAGTAATTTTGTTTCTGATAGGATTAGGTGTTAAATTGTATTGCATTATATGTAAAAATTATGTAAGTAAAAAGATATTTTTTCATTATTATTAATTGATAAAAATTAATGTTTTTTATCAATTAAAAAGCTTCTAAAAGATTTGATTCTGAAAAAGTTTCAACATAATCAACAGATTTTTTAATAAATATTATAGTTTATTTGGTATTTTATTGAAAATTTACGATATATGGTTGAAATAAGTAAGTATTATTTTTTTAAAATGTGATTAATAAGAACGAACATGTAAGAAGATTTCATTTTATTTTTCAGAAATATTTACACAAAATGTAATATAAATTTTCCGATTCCGTTTCGTCAAGTAGTCAAATGCTGTGCAATATAAATATACGATAATGTAAATATAAATGTGTGATGACACAGTAATGTAGTATACGATACTGGACTAAAAATATGTATGTATATTTTAAATACATCTTGTGACGTAAAACGATCTTTTCTAATTTACAAATAATTTTTTTCAGATGAATGATATGAATTTATGAATTAGAAGAACTTAAAAAAATATTGTTACATTGTACATTTATGTATTTAAACATATGAAAATTCATATTCTACTTATAATATTCGCAAAGGAGAAAAATAAAATAAATGATAAATAACGATAAATGAGAGATTAAAGTTACAGAAAAGAAGAAAAAGTTTAAATAACTTAAGCACATGGATACGTGTTCATATCCGGAAGACACCGGATATTCCGTTGAAAATCAAGAAAATTTACCGGTAGATTCTTCTCTAAGAATCTTTCCTTTCATCCTATTTAAATATTTGCCTTCTTCCACAGATTCCGATATTTTGCATCGCAAGTATTGTATCTCCGGATCGATATTCATAATCCAACAATGTAGATGTAAAATGTATTCTTGTATAAGAATCTTACCTGATATAAAGGAAAGCAATCCGATCAAGAGAAGAAGATCCATAATCTTGCCTTCTTTTTCCTAGCTCTACTTTTGTGTCATCCTCCGTGTCGAAGACTCGTTTCCGGTAAATCCACTTGTCGATGTCGATTGCGGCTCTAGCCGTTTCTTCCTCACCGGATGACAGGTGATCGAAAGATCCCGTTGATATCGATCGAGACTTGCAATATTTTCCTTTCTTCTCGAAAGAGAAATTGATCAAATGATAACTGTCAGAAATCCACCAAAAACTGAGACTGGACGAGAGTGATTTCACGAAAATTTCACGAAAAAGGAAATATGACGGGAGTTAAACGAAAGAGAAAGAGAGAGAGACGAGTTTCCGCGAGAATTCCACGCGATTTCCGGAAGCTACGAAATACGAAAATAAGTCTCGCGAAGTATGAAGAGTCAGTCGACTACGAGAAACCGGTGAACGACGAGACGGTGTACGAGCGCAAGAGGTCCAGTGGACGAGAGACTCGACGAAGATGCGGAGCAACACGCGGTGTTGTTAACTAAGCTGCCGCTGTTCACAGGGCTGTGTGACACGCTGCATAGAGCGCGGTACGAGACCAGTTCGAAGACTGAGTACGAGTCCATATCCCGGAGGCTGACTTCTCTCGGCCCTACCAGGGTACGCCGTACAGTAATGCCCGTCCATTGCCCGCCTCTGGATAACGTTTCCTTCCACCATTAGGCAACACACGCGATACACGGTTCGCCGTGAGACACGCCGTGCTCTCCGTGTCCTCATGCGGGGGAATCGTTGCGGGATTATCGCGGATCTTTCGGAGGAGTCTCTCTTTCTCTCTTTCTCTTGCTCGCTCTCTTTCTCTCTTTCTTTCTTGGTTCCTTTCTGGTATGGAGACCTGGTCGTTGGAAATGAAACGATAAGATTCGAAGTTGGAATAATTCAAGGGCGAGTTTCTGAAAATAGATTGGTTCTTTATGCATTCAGTGGTTGAGAGTGGTATGATGTAGAATGAGAGTTGAAAATGGGTGAGTGAGGATGATGTGAAAATAAGATAACAAGTTTGAATAAGTCGATATCATTGGAATAATTATAATTTGTTTCTTTAGAATAATTTTGAAATAGATTAGTTTCTTCGTATTGGAATTTGAGAATTATTAATCATTACTTAATATTTTTAATAATAATAATTTTCATTCATTGATTCATAATTAAACGGATAGAGTGATTCCTATTTACAAACGAATTTGCGTAATTTAATTTATATTCATATAATTTATATTTAATTATTTAGATTTATATATGATAATTATAGATTTATATATGATTTCGTCAAATCAAAATTTTAATTTGACTCGTGTAAAAAATAATTGCATATTTTATTATAAACTAAAATATTTTCTTCGTGACACTGTGTATCGAGAAATTGGATTGTCAAAAAATTTTATAACAAAAAATGATAGAATAAAAAACAAGGGAAATAATTTAAAAAAAAAAGAAAAAAGAATTCATATAATCTTAAAGTAAGTCTTAAAAATTTTAACCGCAATTTCTAATCGATATATTATGTATACATAACATGATCAGAAAAAAAATATATTCTTTGTAAAAAAATTATAATTATTTAAATAATTAACGAAAGTATCATTTTCAAGATCAGACTTGAAACGAATTAATTAGAAAATTAATTAGAACGGAGATCTGAGAAATGACTTAACACGATTAAAGTGAAAAATAGTGTTTCGAATAATAATTAATGCCAGAAGAGTAATAAAAAATTTATTTCGCTTTGTCGTTTATTATGGTTAAGTTTTAATTGCAAATTGTATCATTTATATGATATACCCTGTTTTATTTATATATCTATATAAATTAATCGTGATCTTTGATTAAACTTGATAAAAGTAAAAAAAAAAATATTAAAAATATTAAAAATAAAATAATAAAATATGTAAATAGTAATTTAACAATTACTATATTTGTTATTGATTAAATTTATTGATCAAATTTAAAATATCAAACAATCTAAATATTACTATCTTGTATGATTCTAATCAAACAAGTTTTATTATTCTCCTATTATACAATTTTTTGCATTAGGTTAATTAAAAATAATATAACATAGATTAATATTAATATTAATTTTATAAATTATATGAAACTTCGTGTAAAGAAATGCAATAATTATTCAATTCTATTTTATAATATAATTACACATATATATCTTAGATATAGATAGAATAGATAGATAGATAGATATAGATAGAATACAGAAATTATCGTAAAACAAAAATCATTTGTCAAATGCAAAAATTATGAAAATTCAACTTTGAAAAACTGTTCCAACATTGCATATAATGATTCACAAATAAATATCGATTAAATTTATAACACACGAAAGAAAAAAATTAAAAATAGGGAATCATAAATAAAAGTTATTGAAATTATATAAATTAAGTTTTTGTATATGTATTAATTCCATGTAAACTATAAAAGAAACATGAAAAAATTATAAATTCACAAAATATATTTTTAATAATACCATTTATTTATCAGGATGTATCATTCACAGAATTATATTACATAAGCAACTATTATGAATAAAAGTAAAAAAATTTATTTCTATTTTTTTATTTTATATATTATCCATATTAAAACGAAATTCAATGTATGAAATCATCGACCACCTCGGAGACGAAGTACAAGGTGAAGAGTCGATTCTTTTTGAATATTATAATCAGAAAGTGTACGTCCATCTTCTAATTGTTTTCCAGCAAAGATCAATCTCTGTTGATCAGGAGGAATACCTTCTTTGTCTTGAATTTTTGCTTTTACATTTTCAATTGTATCGGAAGCTTCAACTTCAAGAGTAATAGTTTTACCCGTGAGAGTTTTGACAAAAATTTGCATTCCACCTCTCAAACGCAATACTAAATGTAGTGTTGACTCTTTTTGAATATTATAATCGGATAATGTACGTCCATCTTCCAGCTGTTTACCAGCAAAAATCAATCTTTGTTGATCAGGGGGAATACCTTCTTTGTCTTGAATTTTAGCCTTAACATTTTCAATGGTATCAGAAGCTTCAACTTCTAAAGTAATAGTTTTTCCTGTAAGAGTCTTGACGAAAATTTGCATACCACCACGAAGTCGCAAAACAAGATGAAGTGTAGATTCTTTTTGAATATTGTAATCGGAAAGAGTACGGCCATCTTCCAACTGTTTACCGGCAAAGATCAGTCTCTGTTGGTCAGGCGGAATACCTTCTTTGTCTTGAATTTTTGCTTTTACATTTTCAATGGTATCAGAAGCTTCAACTTCAAGAGTAATAGTTTTTCCTGTAAGAGTCTTGACGAAAATTTGCATACCACCACGAAGTCGCAAAACAAGATGAAGCGTAGATTCTTTTTGAATATTGTAATCGGAAAGAGTACGGCCATCTTCCAATTGTTTACCGGCAAAAATTAATCTTTGTTGATCAGGAGGAATACCTTCTTTGTCTTGAATTTTGGCTTTCACATTTTCAATGGTATCGGAAGCTTCAACTTCTAAAGTAATAGTTTTTCCTGTAAGAGTTTTGACGAAAATTTGCATTCCACCTCTCAAACGCAATACTAAATGTAGTGTTGATTCTTTTTGAATATTATAATCCGAAAGTGTACGACCATCTTCCAGCTGTTTACCAGCAAAAATCAATCTCTGTTGATCCGGAGGAATACCTTCCTTATCTTGAATTTTAGTTTTAACATTTTCAATTGTATCAGAAGCTTCAACTTCTAAAGTAATTGTTTTTCCAGTAAGAGTTTTTACAAATATTTGCATACCACCACGAAGTCGCAAAACAAGATGAAGAGTTGATTCTTTTTGAATATTATAATCGGAAAGTGTACGACCATCTTCCAATTGTTTTCCAGCAAAAATCAATCTTTGTTGATCGGGAGGAATACCTTCTTTATCCTGAATTTTAGTCTTAACATTTTCAATAGTATCGGATGCTTCAACCTCCAAAGTGATGGTTTTTCCCGTAAGAGTCTTAACGAAAATTTGCATACCACCACGAAGTCGTAGAACGAGATGGAGGGTTGATTCTTTTTGAATATTATAATCGGAAAGTGTACGACCATCTTCTAATTGTTTTCCAGCAAAGATCAATCTCTGTTGGTCAGGAGGAATACCTTCTTTGTCTTGAATCTTGGCTTTTACATTTTCAATAGTATCAGAAGCTTCAACTTCAAGAGTAATAGTCTTTCCAGTAAGGGTTTTGACGAAAATTTGCATACCACCACGAAGTCGCAAAACAAGATGAAGCGTAGATTCTTTTTGAATATTATAATCGGAAAGTGTACGACCATCTTCCAATTGTTTTCCAGCAAAAATCAATCTCTGTTGATCGGGAGGAATACCTTCTTTATCCTGAATTTTAGCTTTAACATTTTCAATGGTATCTGAAGCTTCAACTTCTAAAGTAATAGTTTTTCCAGTAAGTGTTTTGACAAAAATTTGCATTCCACCTCTCAAACGCAATACTAAATGTAGTGTTGACTCTTTTTGAATATTATAATCAGATAATGTACGTCCATCTTCTAGTTGTTTACCAGCAAAGATCAATCTTTGCTGATCTGGTGGAATTCCTTCCTTGTCTTGAATTTTCGCTTTTACATTTTCAATGGTGTCTGAGGCCTCTACCTCCAGAGTTATTGTTTTACCTGTCAATGTTTTGACAAAGATCTGCATGATTATCTGTAAAAAAAAATTATTTAATATATTAATTAAGATAAATATATTTAATGGCAAAATTTATTTCAAAATATGAAAGTTTATTTGACTTATATATATTCTATAATATAAGAATAAGAATATTATTTTTATACTGAAAAGTTATGTTTCAAGAAATATGATAGATATATGATAAATATGTATGCATAATTTAGAAGAATATATATATTTTTAACTTGTAAAATAATATAAGTAGTTAAAATAATATAAATAATTTTATAATTCATAAGAGCAAAAAAATATAAAAAAAATATTTCTTTATTATAACTATTTTTATTATAAATATTATAAATATTATATTTATTATAATATTAGTATAATATATACATATAATATTATACTTATTAGTTTTAGATTAGATTAGTGTGACTTTTATTTTTAAAAAATAAAAAATTGTTATTCATTTTGTATTTTTTAATACTCTCAAATAAAATTTAAAAATATATATTTTAAAATCTCACTAAATCTCAAATATTTTAAAATTATATTCATATTATAATATTCAGAAAAATTCATATTATAATATAAGTGCATGCTTTAATATTCTATTAATTTTGTTCATACTTTATCTATCTATTGATGAATTGAATAATGAGTGTAAAATATGCAACAAAAATGTAAAATAAATGATTTTGCGGTAATAAATCGAAACTTTTATTATTTCTATAGATAATTTCCATTGAATAGCACAATATATATATATTAAAAAAATAAACTTGCTTAATTGTAATCATAATTATATGCATTGGATTTTTAATAGCAAATAATTTTATAGAGGTGATTCCTATGTTACCGATCATCTTACACAATCAAAAATCTAATTATTATATTTTAAAATAATCAATATGAATTTTCTACCGACCTAAGTGTTACATATAATATGTATATTTAGAGATATTTTTTTATAAAATAATTTTTGATAAAATGATTTTGTAAACTCAATATTTATATTTTTAGATCTTCAAAATGAAGTTATCTTTTTAGTGTATATCTTTTTATATATTGCATTCATATACTGATTTATATATATATGAGTTAAAATTTCCTCAATTTAAATAATAATAATAATAATAATAATAATAATAATTATATATTTAAATTATCGTTACTTTCATCGATGAAATTAACATGAAGTTATCGAGTTATCATATATTAAATAGTTTTGCAATTTTCAAATTTATATTTAATTTTTTAAAATTTATATTAAATTTTTTAAAATCAATTCTTGTATTTTTATTTTTTCTTATATTTTAATCGTCAAATAGTATCAAAAGATATCAGAATTTGTCAAAAATTTTTTATATTCCGAAACGAAATTTATCTTATATTTTTCTTAAAATAATTTATTAATAATTTATTAAATAAATATTTCACTAAATTCGTTTGTTTTATATTTTGTTCACATTTATGATAAAACGTAAGATGAATTTCAATATGTGCGTGCTAAATGTCATAGTCATAATGGCGTCATGTGATGAATCAATAACCGCCATTTTGAGTACAGTTATTACGCAGTAAAAATGTGAAACATTAAAATAAGATTTTATTTTCGTGAAATTAATTTCATAATCATTTTTCTATATTATAATTTTATTATTCAAATATTATTACTAATTTACTGATATATAAAAAATATATATTATGAAATTATTTCAGCAATAAATTTTAAATTCAATACTTATAATCGATGCTTTCAAAGACATTATTTTGTCTTAATTATTATTTTATTCTTTTACAAAAAATGATTTAAATGTGTACAATCAATTTTAGAATAAATAAATTATTTAAAATGAAAAAATATGTGAATATAAATAAAATCAATAAAATCTTTAATTATCAAAAAAATATTAAAATTTAAAATAAATAAAATCGTAAATACAATAAAAATGGAAATTCTTACCTTCCTTGGAAGTAGTTTATGATGCAGCAAAAATTTCTATAAAATTTAAGAAGTCTCACGAAGTTCTTCCTCTAAAAGCACTCTGAAATACCTTGTAGAACTGAATAGAGGAAACGACAAACGTTCCTTTTATGTCAATGAGAGAAAACTGTACTGATCATGCGCAAACATGTCAGGAGATCTCTACAAAGATGCCTATTGGATTATATCTTGTATCGTCATGGAATCTCTGACGTTGCCACGTTCTATTGGTTTCTGAGACAAAGAGTATTTTTTATGTAATAAAATTTTGTTAAATTAATGTCGTTTATAAAATTATTTATAGTAAATTATTATTTTTAGAATAATGTATTTTCTTCAACCAAAAATTTTATTTATATGCACGTTTCTTTGAACTGTCACATTTTGACAGTAATAAACAGCTAGAGGGCGCCTGGAAAAATTGTTGAATAAAGAAAAGTGATGATTCATTGTTTTTATTACTAGCATTGCTTTTTCTAATAAATTTTTTATACAATTTATATTTAGCATAAATAACATTAATTTTAAGAATAAAAAAATATTTAAAATTCTATATGAATAAGAATATAGTTGAATAGGTTATATTAAATATCAAATATATAGATTCGATATTAAATATATTGTTATTGTTTTCAAATTCGATATTAATTTGTAAGAATTATTATATACATAAAATAATCATATCTATATATCAAAACATAGAACTGATGCAATCTTAAAATAAAATTGATAAAAATTAATAAAAAATGAAAACGTGATGCAAGTTAATATGCAAGTTAATATATATATAATATATAAATAATATATATTTAAATTAAGTGCTAAAATAGATATAATATATAAATCATAAAAATTCCAAAAAAATATAAATTATTTTTATATTATATTATATTTATTTGATATAATTAAAATGTATCATTAAAAAAATTTAATATTTTTGTAATTATTTGCACGATCATTTCATTCATATTACTTACCAAATATTTTTAGTGACACAGTGAAAAACAATATTTTATCTTGCATAATTATTCACTTTCATTGAAATTGATATTTCATAAAAAAAAAAAAAAAAAAAAAAAAAAGATCAATCATGATCATCAGACTAGATTAAAATTTTGTTTATAGCATGATTGTTTTACATGAAATACATGATAATTTCGAAAACAAGTATTTACTTACGATAACTATTTACATTTTTAATTTAATATTTCATTAATAACATCGAAATAATAAATTTTAGTTAACTATGTACGTTACTACTTATATAATTTAGCAATAATTACAACCAGTTATTAATATAAAAAAAGGACAAAAACAAAAACTCGCAGATTTTAAGCTAAATTCTAAAAACAATATAAATATTTACCTTTATTATCGAAACATGTTTATAATAAAACATGCAATTGTTTTTCACATGAAATTAATAAATCGCATATTATTCTTAAAAATAAAATATAATTAGAATGGCACAGTGAACATTAGATATGATCTTTATATATGAACAGAATATAACGTAATCTTCATATTAGTTTCGAAAAATTATCAAATTTTCAAGAAATTAGTTTGCATTATTTCGTTTGAAACATCAAGACTCTACACACGTTTTTGCAGGTTTTAATCATTTAATAAAAAATTGTTTGAATGAAAAGTTTGTAAATTTTTTTTGCAAAATACCTGCATGTAGAGCAGGTTTATTACGTTATATTATAATATTTGGTTGAAAAAATAATAAACTAATAATACACATATTATGTAATTTAAATATATACAAATATATACTTTAATACTGTAGAATAGGAAATGAAAATTACTTAATGCTTAATCTTATATTGATTCAAAGCATACGTCAGTTCAGTTTGATTAAAAAATTGTATACATTTATGAGAAATAGAAAAAATTGAAATTATAAGAGTCGATCATTGTCCACATTCTTATTTGAAGACTAGTTGTACCAAACAAAATCAATTATACATATAAAATTATATTCATAACTTATACACAAATTATATCCTTAAATTAAACGTAAAATTAAATTTTTTTTAATTCTATCTTCTGCTAATTTTATTAAAAAATTAATACAATATCAGTCTCAGTTCTACTCGGTGCCATCCAAAAATAAATTAACTTTCTTTGTATGTTAAGTGTTTCTTCTTGTAGAAAATTAACTAATTAATAATTATAATAGTAAAATCGAAGTGCTATTGTGTGTGTGGCCTTCTTATTAAAGAGAATAATTCTTATTAACTTATCTTATTGATAAAAGCTCTTATACAATATGTACTGTAATATGCAAAGGAATATGGAAGTGAAGAAAACTTTATATTTATCTCATGCATGTTCGATTTATTCAAAGAGGATTTGCATGTGTACAACAGAAGATTCATACACTGTGTCAGAAACAAAATTTATTACGTATGAACATTTTGAAATTATATTCGATTTCCTGTGAAATTTTTAAACAAACTATAGTAAAATATTAGGAATTCTTGACACGTGCACTTAACCCTCATTGGACAGCAAAGCATCTATTTTAATAATTGATTTTCAACTCTGCTTTCTTGGAATCTTCTGCGTGAATCAGTACACGCGGTGAGAACATACGGTGTTAGTTGTTTTGTGCAGGGAAACATTCTGCACTTCTTTACGACTACACACACAACATACACACGAATTCTCAATACAAACTAACCTACTCTTAACTTCAAAACTTATAAATGTTCAGTTTCTTGCCACCCTTTCTATTAAACTTCTTCATCATACATTGTGACTTTCAAATATAGCTAAATAAGTAATTCAGAACTAATAACGCATTCATCATTTTCTTTGACAAAATCCTAGTGCTGGAACTAATCGTACCAATTGCCTGTTTAGGAAAGATTATAAGTCTTTTCTCAAAAACCTTTAGTAAAATAGTTGCAAAGGTTTTCTTATATATCTTAAGAATAACATTATCCATATTTTGTAATAACACTAAAATCTAGTGTTTATACGTAAAATGAATTTAACAAATGAAATCTGAAATAATGTATTCCTTACTTTAAAGATGTTCAGAACTTACTAAAAAATTAAATTGCTTATAACAATCGAAGCAGTACATCAGTTTTTTATCATTAAAACAGAAAACTTAGTACTAGTAGTAACGCGATAATTCGACGATGTTATACGTTCAAAAACGAAGTCAAGGTACAATGATATAATCTGACCTAATAATTTCTTTCGTCATTAAAATCATGATTGCAAATTAAAACGATGCGCCATTGGTTGTCCAAAGGGAGACTACATTCTAAATAATCATAACACTATATTAATAGATCGTTAGTCTTGTTTTAATCTTTGATATCTTTCCAGTATAGAAACACCTCATTGAACAAGCAATTGACACGAGAAAATTTTATTTCTTATACTATATAAGTTACGAGTAAATCGATAAAGCAAATATTTTGGTAGATCTACTTGGAGTCTGTCTCCATTTTGATCTCCTCTGCTTTTTTATCTTTTTTCGAAGCCTCGCTATCTGTTCCTTCTCCGTTACTATTGTCACGTCTTCGTTTCCTACCATATCGGCCCTTATATTTAGGTGGTGGAAGTTGTTCCATACCCAAAACTTTATGAATTTGACGAAATGCAACCAACCGCAGAGCATGTTGTGCCGAAGCAGTTATATCTTCTCTTTGTTGAGCTGTCATATTGCCTATCGCATCAACTGGTTCTTTTTCACATGGATCAGATAATCCTACAGAAATATATTATTTGTAACCATTTATTTTTCTTAGAAATCATTTGTAAAATTTTATATAAATATATAAAGTCAGATTGCCAATCATCTATATAATATTGTGAAGAATACCATTAAGATACAAAAATCGAAATACTCGATTTTTAGAATCTGGATGGATTTCACAATATACTCAGTCTCGTCATCTGAATCATCATTTTATTTCAAAATATTTAAAAAAATCAAATATTTTTATTACTTATATTAATTTCGTTGCAAATTAATTATACCTGGACTGCCTGGAAGCAATATTCCTCCAGCAACACATTCCAAAAGTCTTCTTAAAGCTTCACCTGGACTAAGAGGTCCTCCAGCAGTGCTAATTACTTTCTCAGTTAACAGTTCTAGCGCCTGAAAATTTAATAATCTCTTATTTTTATTTCTTTGCTTTTTGAAGTGTTAAATATTTATTTTATTTTATTTTATTTCAAATAAATTAAACTAAGATATTTGCATAATAGAAAGTTATTCCATACTAACCCATGGGTTTAATGGTCCCCAAGTGGGTACACGGTTACAAAGATCACGCATTATGCGAATAACCATTACACAGCTCTGCAGTGAAGTTGCTCTAGCCTGTTAAATACGATTAGTATTTCAATATGATAACAATAATAACCACATTAAAGTCTCAATATCTTCTGGAGATGTGACGCCCTAAACTACTTTTAATTTGCTTTGTGTGGGCTTTAGCTATCCTCCCAGCCTCGTGCCTATAGCTCCTAAATATTAGCCCATATCAAAATTATCGGGTGTTTATATTAAGTATTTCCTGAACAATTAATACCTAACATAATATTTAAAAAAAAGTGCAATATATTAGAAAAATTGTACACTTGTTAAACTGCCAAATATAACTATTAAACTTATAACTAAAAAACACCCGATATACTTATGACACCACTGTGTGTTTGTGCTTGTCTGTCTTTTAATATATTAATTAAGTGCTCACAATGCACATTCTATAGAAAATATGAAATAAAGTACATATTTTTAAAGAATTATATACTAACTTTAAAAACTTCTAAGACAGACCTAGAACAGACTCAGTCTAGGCTACAATGCATTAAGATTAATCCAGAATAATGAATAAGCTTTAATCATAAGCATCATAAAGTAGTTCAGTGCATTATAAACAAAAATAAAACTACATCCTTTGAAGAGAAATTACGCAATTTTATAAGATTGTCTGCAAATAGTTTCCTATTATTCTGGATGTTGATGATTTGAAGTAAAGCAAATGTAAATGCTTTTGATGTGCATCAATATTTAAATGCTACAATTCACACTTACATAATGCTTAAACTTCTTGCCTGAAACTATCTGATTGCACATTCGATG